CTATCTATCTATCTATCTATCTATCTATCTATCTATCTATCTATCTATCTATCTATCTATCTATCTATCTATCTATCTATCTATTTATCTATCTATCTATCTATCTATCTATCTATCTATCTATCTATCTATCTATCTATCTATCTATCTATCTATCTATCTATCTATCTATCTATCTATCTATCTATCTATCTATCTATCTATCTATCTATCTATCTATCTATCTATCTATCTATCTATCTATCTATCTATCTATCTATCTATCTATCTATCTATCTATCTATCTATCTATCTATCTATCTATCTATCTATCTATCTATCTATCTATCTATCTATCTATCTATCTATATATCTATCTATCTCTATCTATCTAATCTGTCTATCTGTCTGTCTGTCTGTCCGTCCGTCCGTCCGTCCGTCCGTCCGTCCGTCTGTCTATCTGTCTATCTATCTACCTACCTACCTACCTACCTACCTACCTACCTACCTACCTACCTACCTACCTATCTATCTATCTATCTATCTATCTATCTATCTATCTATCTATCTATCTATCTATCTATCTATCTATCTATCTATCTATCTATCTATCTATCTATCTATCTATCTATCTATCTATCTATCTATCTATCTATCTATCTATCTATCTATCTATCTATCTATCTATCTATCTATCTATCTATCTATCTATCTATCTATCTATCTATCTATCTATCTATCTATCTATCTATCTATCTATCTATCTATCTATCTATCTATCTATCTATCTATCTATCTATCTATCTATCTATCTATCTATCTTTCTATCTATCTGTCTATATGTCTGTCTGTCTGCCTGCCTGTCTGTCTGTCTGTCTGTCCGTCCGTCCGTCCGTCTATCTATCTGTCTGTCTGTCCGTCCGTCCGTTCGCCCGTCCGTCCGTCTGTCTGTCTGTCCGTCCGTCTGTCCGTCTGCTAGCTAGACAGATATATAGATGGGTAGCTAGCCACCTACATATAAGTGAAGGCTAGCTGCAGAGAGTCCTAACGTGTTAAAGTTTACCACATATCTCAGAGAGAAACTGTGCGACGTGTTTAGCTGTAACCAGTTTGCTACTGAAACTTTAGGGCTGTTGCTGTAGGACCCTGAGCATTTGTGGGAGTGCCAGGTGTGCTCTTAACTCATTCAGTCGCAAACAATTCACCACGCGTTTATTGATTACTCCATACGTGAAATGCCTTTTCCTAACTGTTTGCTCTCCGAGTAGCCGTTATAAGTAGCTGAGCTGTCATAACCAAAATGTTACTTTAACCCTTTTGGCGCCTCATTGTACCTAATTTACCCCCCCCCCCCCCCCCCCCATCGGATCTAAACAACAATTATAGTAGGTAATAATTACTTAGGAATCAACGAGTAAGTGATACCTGCCTGGGAATGAAAGAGGTAAGAAATGACCACCACCCCCTACCACCATACCCCCCTCCCCCGCCTGTCCGTTAGACCGGCTGCATGTCTGTTAGAACGGCTGCATGTCTGTTAGAAGGCAAAATGTTAGATTTCTGAAGCTGCAAAAGATGTGCTTTTCAAGAAGAATTATGAGAACTGCCAGAAGACGAAAAGTGCAATACTGAAAGAAAATTTCGTCTGACTGATGTTAAACCCTACTAGGACCGCACAACCAGCTGCCATCATTCGGATGAAAATCACACGGGCACAAGTCCGCCGACAACAGCCGGGGTGGAGCTTACAAATAACAAAATATTTGGGACGGGAATAATACGAAAATTATGTCACTAATATAATGGATTTATCATTGTCATCCTTTGGTGTAGTACGTCACACAGAGCTCACACAGTTGTTTTTTCTATTAAGTTTTATTTTGTAAATTTTTTTTTTTTTTTTTTAGTATTGTAGTTATAACTCCACCAGCAAGGAAATCAAAAGTTAAAATTTGAAGAGCATGCATTTTCCCTGTAGCAACATACGGATTTGAGTCGTGGACTATCTCCCAGTCCTTAAGAAAGAGGATATGGTCATTTGATCTAGATTGCTATAGAAATATTCTCAGAATATCATGGACAAAGAAAAATCAAAAGACAAACTGGCTTTCTAATCGGTCTGAACGTCAAGGAAAATTGGATATTAAACAGCATCTTGCCTAAGAAGCGTTGGCTTTATCAAGCGGGATAGAAAAACTAACGGAAGAAGGCATGGTGCCAGTAAAGAACGGTAGAGACAGGGACCGATCAACACAGAGATGGGCACAGGATATCAGTGGCTTGGATATGAAGAGCTATCCAGAGATGAGAGCGACGTTCTGCAAACGGCCTGCTACATGATCATTATCAGGAGGAGCCCAGTTAAGCACCTCTGACCTTTCTCATCTTCGTATGCATTAGGGTTTCTTTATGATCATTTCCTTAGTCCATTTGTTTTCCATTTGTTGTATCAGTCTAGTGGTTTTTCTGTTTTTTTCTGAGCAGGATGTGGCAAATATATCTCTTTCTCCATTGTTTTATAATCTCTCTTAGTAACACGCAGGTTTTTTTTTAAAACTCCAACTATTCCACGCAATATATATATATAATAACTCCGTCCCATTGTCGGGGCAATTTGTGTTTATTTAAAAGCTCCACCCCAGCTTTGAGTGGGTACCGGGTGCAGTCCTGGGAAGTAGAGGCGGCCGGCGTGATGCTGACCACATCACCCATCTTGTGCCATTGGTCTATAAAAATATAGGTCTAGCCCTATTTGACCTATACGCCTAAAGGCGTGGAAAAGGGTCCTTTACTTTTTTTGCTTCCACCCCGGCTGTCGTCGGGTGCCCTAATATAACCTACGGTTGAACGGGGTTTCTGGGACTTGTACCCGGGTGATTCTAGTTCGAATGGTGACACTTTGTGTCATCTGGTGTTTGTCGCTTGCTGTGAGGTGCTGGTAAGGTTGAACGACACTTACTCTCTCAACGTAATAAATATTAAGATCTGTTAGAGCTCGGCAGAGAGACACGGTGGAAAAGAAGGTGTTGAACAAATAATTCAGGCACAAAGGGTTTAAAGAAAACATGCCTGTAACTGAAAATCGCAATAACATCATGTTACCTATAAATCACAAAGAAACGTATTGTGAGTTGTTTGGTAAAGGAGGGTTTCTCTGACAAAGCTACTAAGTTAAGAGCTTAGTGTAGCACTGTGAGCTGTGCGTTGTATGTGGAGCGGTTGTGTCGTGGTATTAAGTATGGGGGGGGGGGGGACTTGTTTATGTGTGGGATGGCGAAATACCTTATGTGATATTTATTATCACAACTAATTCTTTCAACGACAAACTGCATTTCTGGTGGTGATTGTTGCCCTTGGCATCTCTAGCATCTGCCTTATGCATTTACTGTGCGTGTATATTTCTGGATTGTGCCGGGACTAATTGTATGTTCAGCAGTTTTTCATGTGGGACAGTGAGGGATGTTTCATTTGATTTTCATTGGCACAGGAACAGAGCGTGCATGTGGTGACCCGATTGCATTGAGGGGCAAACCTCCCTTACTATGACTAGTTCTGTGAGAAATAGGGATAGAGCTAAATGTGGATACCAGCCATTGCCCATACATTTCTCTTATTTATTCTCTTTTCTTTAGTTCACCCAATTAAATGTTTATCAGTTTCTTTAGGCATTCGAAGAAGAACTGATTATCTGCATCATAAACGGAATATCCTGATTCTTTGACCATACGTCTTGTTTTTACCGGGGCAGTCCAGTTTTTTTTCTTCTTCTTCCAAAGTGTGAATGAATGAATGAATGAATGAATGAATGAATGAATGAATGAATGAATGAATGAATGAATGAATGAATGAATGAATGAATGAATGAATGAATGAATGAATGAATTTACGCAACTGCCTTTGGGATAATCCCACATGTGTTTAGTCCCCCTTTTCAGTAGACAACGAAGAGTTGACATGCTAACAGTACCAGTTACAATCTGATTAAAAGTCCGCCTTTGTTTCCACTTCAATCTCGAATATCTTTTGCACTGTCCATTTATTCCCCTAGTGCCTTCACCACACCTACTTTATCATATAGTAGCTCACTGCCCATAGGAGCGGCAGCAGCTAATCTATCAGCTTGCTCGTTACCTTGCACACCTGAATATTCTAGGTAGGAAATCCACATGTTCTTGATCCGGGTTGGTTGGTTGGTAGTTGTACCCAACCAAAACCCGAGTGTTGCGTGCACATCCGTTTTACAGATCTAACTTATTTTTATGCGGACTGGAGAAGTGGCTGGTAAACAGCATCCATGTAAGTTGTGGTAGTTTTGACATATCATGGTTGTCTGGAGAGAACGGTGCAGTTTCGGTAAACTGTGTAGAGGCCGACCTCCTCGATAGTAGTTGCAAGATACTGGAGATTCACTGGCTGTAAAGGCACACCGGGCTGGAGAATTAGAGAAAGAGACACATTCAGGCTTGCCGTAAAGAGAGCGACCTTCTGTAAAGGACATGCTGATTTATGATGATTGTTGCCCGGCTCTCTAGCGTAGTTGGTTAAACCTGACATCGCGGTGACCGGGTGACGAACTCCTTGTGGTCCGGGTTCACTCCCTGGGGTAGGCAGAAAAGCCACATTTCTTCCAGATTTACGGTATCTATCATAGAATCAAGGCCGAAGGGTTGCGACATCAATAGTACCGAGCCAAAGAGTTAAGAACTCATGGTTTCTGGATATTTAAAAAAAAATGATGATTGATGGTTCCTTGCCTCTCAAGCAGAAGCACTCCGACTTTGATGGAAGCCAACTAGTTAGTCGACCCTTACGACATGCTTGTTTTGTAGGCAGTAGAACTATTCCTGATAGACCTACAACCTAATAGTAATAATTTAACGTTCACACCCTTTGATTTATAAATATCGAATACATTAAATAACAAAGTTCACTCGTGAGAGCTCGGACATTTCCGAGCGTGACGTCAGCTTCGGCTAGTTCCGTGTCGACAGAAAGCAACAAGAAAACATTTTTTAAAAAAAATGGCGACTCAGGAGAGAAGTCCGTCGCTTATTATTTTCCAACAGTGGTCAGCACTGACCGATCTCGGGTCTTCTGACACAGAAAAGGGTAAGCTGAGACATTTAGTAATGGATGTTTACAACACTCCTGACACTTAATTCTTTGTTTCAAGCTTCCCTATCGTAGAAAACCGTCAATGTTTACACGTCTTGTCAGAACTTATATTATTTGTTATTGTGAGAGACGACTGAATGAAAATGAAGAAGAAAAAAGCAACGAAGACAATCTGAATTAACACAATATTTTAAGTAAAATCAAATTTATGTACAATAAAAACGTTTACTAGTGTCATTTAGTTACATTTTATGTTATTTTTTTACAACCAGAGAAAGAGCATGCAGCAGACAAGGATGGAAATAGAAACTCCAGTGGTGATAGTATGAAACTTGGGAAACAGGGTAGGTCATCATATTCATGTTATTATTATTATTATTATTAAGTGAACGGTGACTGATTGACGAAATATCTTGAGTTTGTATATTTAAAACATGGGATAGTAAACTATACAAAGAGGTTCACATTGTTATATTATTATAGTTAATTCACATGCATATGTAATACATACTTAGCTTCATTGATATATATATATATATAAATACACACACACACACCTTTCTTAACTCAGGGGGTTTAGCATCACAGGCCCAAGGGGTAGTGAAGGGAGACATAAAATCGGCGCATTATACGTTCATTGGGCTTCTAGGTAGGAGTCTATGAACGTATGATGCGTTCCTTCGGACTCAAAGAGTTAATGCAATAAGTTTCAAAATTATAATATTTATTACATGATAGTACATTAACTTAACACTTTCACTGCCATGGGCTTTACCATCAGAGGTCCAAAGGGTACTTAAGAGAGACAAATAATCGGCACATCGTATTAATTGGGCTTCTTCGTAGGAACCTGTGAACCTTTTGATGTTTTGTTTGAGACTGAGAGAGTTTAAAAGTGGATGTTTTATTTTTATTAATTATAATGTCAGATTTCATAAGTTTAAGATATGACAGAGCTGGAACTTTTAAAAAAAAATTGCTTTGACTCCCAGGTTAACCCAGCTCTGAATGGGTACCAGGTGCAGTCCTGGAAAGTATAGGCGGCTGGCACGATGCTAACCACATCACCCACTAAGTGGCGAGCCCTATATGCCCAGTACGCCTGAAGGTCTGAAAAAGTGTACTTTTCTTAAATATCAGATTTTGCCAGTAGAGTCTGTCCCTCTGAAGTTATAGAAAGTTAATTTTATCATCTGTGAAAGAATATGTTCAGTTTGTCATTGCTTAATTATCAGTTATAGTGCACACACATGATCCAGACATGCATGCATTTTGAGCCACAAGAACTGTCAGTATCATTAGTGGTGGAAGGCAGGGTAGAAAGGGAGGATTATAACCAGTTCTTTTGGAAACAACCAGTAGAGGTACCTTGGAGTGGCTGCTGAAGCATAGGACTGAGCATGCATGGCAATCCCCAATATGCATTGATGTCAGTTGTGATAACATAACTGTCATAACATATGGTAAAGAAATAATTATCTTTTGAGGCTGTGTGGTCTCGAGGTATAGCATCGGCCTCGAGTGCTGGTCCCGGATTCAAGCCCTGGTGAAGGCTAGGATTTTTTCCCCTTTCAATTCTAGTAATTTCCCATGGTCTCTGGGTAGTAAGATCGGAAGCCAATGTGTATTGTTGCGCAGTTGGAAATCTAAAAGAGTAGCCTAACTCTGCTGCCCAGGAAAAATATGGAGTGAAAAATCTACCTAAAGTATTTCAGGATCCTCGCCGGTGCAGCAGAGTTCATGCACTGCACTGAGATTCTTCAGACTCAGGCTTGAGTTAGAAGTAGAACTGAGCACTTATGGGTTTACACCCGTGTGCCATGATGTTGATCCGTCGACTAAACTAATTAATAAATATATATATATATACAGAACACTTGGTCTCATCTGTATAAAAAAAGGCTGTACTAAATAACATGTTGTACCATATACTTTTAATGTTGTTTAATAATGAGCTATTAACTGACAGGGAGAAAGCCACACAAAAAAATGAACATTAGATTTATGACATATTGGACACATGTTTTATATTTTGTTTGTTTATTCTTTTGCAGACATGAGCCTGTTTGGCTTCTGTCCATCCAGAGATGAGTTCAGCCTTGTTGTCTGTGAGAAATGCAACCTTCTAGTCAAGCCACAAGCACTGAAACAGCATATAGGTTTGTTTGTGAAAGCACTAATTCAGGCAGACTGCCACAAAACCAAAAATTAGCCTCCATCCCCCCCATTACAGATTTTCTGGGGGGGGGAGGTGAGGGGCCATGTTTAATTAATAAAATACTCACAACCACGCTTTCCTAACCACTTAGGAAAAAAACATTTTCCGCTGGAGAATGAGAAAAAGAAGATTACATAAGACAAAACTGGAAAGTGGGGGGGGGGGCTCCACAGTAAAGTGGTCAAGCTATTTGTCTCAAGGTTATGGGGTTTATTTAGCGTGTCTTTTGTTGGGTTATGGGCGCAATATATTTTTTTTAAACCCCTGTGGGTTGTCACTGAAACCTTTGAGTTTTTGCTCTTTTATGGTGTTCTTAGCTGGTGTCTCATCTATATATATATATAAACACGCACACACACACACACACACACACACACACACATACCTTATTCTGCGCCTCAGGACAGGACATAACAGACTTAACAAGCGTATACACAAGCTTCCTTTAAGCAGTTCACCTTTGTGCCCTTGTGGGCTATGTGTGCAGACTACAGAACATGTCCTGCGAGAATGTCCCTTGTATAGCCCATTAGGAAGGAAATACTGGCCCAATGAATCGACATTGCATTCAAAGCTGTATGGAACTAAAAGGGAACTCCTAAAAACAGTCAAGGTTATCATAAGAACTTGTCTGTCGGTGTAAATCAGAAAGCGAATACAAGAAGAAGAAGAAGTTAATGTCTGTGGTTTAGATGTTGCGAACTTGCTTCAGGATTCCATGGTGCTGTGTTCAATCTCAACTACAGCTGATTTGGCAGCAGACCACCTTGCATTGGTTTCAACTTTGCTATCAAGAGCCGACCTATCAGTAAGCAATGACTAACTGTTTAAAGTAAATATCGCAGGCAGCCAAAAAATGCTGGGGTTGGTTGTGTAATCTTCTGTAAAGCACACACAGTTAACTAGTGTTCTTGGCAGGCACTTGTGTTTGATGTACAATATGTGTTAAGTGCATATAACTATAGGCATAAAATGAATAATACTAAGTACAAAGGCAAGATCATAGTATGGTGAGTACAAATACACACATACGTGCATACACACATATATACAAACACACACCATACATATGCATTTGTTGTAATCACACTTTTCCATACTACACACAAACATAAACCAAGTGTTCTTTTTTTTTTTGTGTGTGTGACATGTAGCCGTACACAGTACTTGTAATTAAAAAAAAAAACTATATGTTAATAGGTTCTTTGTAAGGGGTACTGGTATACTGGTATCTTTTGTGTGTATGTGAGAGAGAGAGAGATTCACTTTATGGTAGTTTCCAGCATTTTTGTTTCTAGAAAAAGTCCTGGGTGTACAGATGCGTACATTTTCTTAGTTCAGCTTTAGTTTAGTTAATATTGTTTTACCACATAATCGGCCTCAAATATTTGATAAACTTTCTCCTTCCCTCAGAATCTCGACACGGACTAACAAATCTCAGCAGCTTGGGAAGTATATCTGCCTCCGCACTGAATTCAGAACTTGGTAAAAAATTACTGATGCCTCTCCCTATAAAATCAGACCCGCTTCCAGCAGCTGTCTCCAATGACAAACGGGCAAGAGAAGCTTTCAAGCCGCTGTCAGCAGGCAGACTTCCATCAAAGGCAAGCTTAAAACAAGCATCTGCTTCCACGAAAAACTGTTCGATTCCTATTCTGTCTGGCGGAGTGAAGATAAACATCACAAAGCCTGTGAAATCTGGCAGCAGGCTGACACCAGTAAAGGCAGCTGCTTGTGCGATATCAAATCCAATTGTTAAAGTTGAGAAACTAGATGAGATTTCCATTACATCGTCCATTAAAACTGCAGCAAAGCAGGAGGGACCTGAGCCGCCTCTGTCAGAGCTTTCAAAAAATATCTTGAACATAGACTCCACAAAAATATCCACACTGCTAAATGGATCTGTAAAGTCAGCGGTGGTGGCTCTCACAACACCGCCGTCGACATTAGCAACTTCTTCGCCCCCCACATTGTCTCCTATAGTTTCAACAGCTGTGACTAAAGTATCAACTGACACCATCCTGAGCACACGAAATGTGATCACATTTGTGAGTACATCATTGACCAGGCCCCAGGTGATGAGCCCACATATTACAGTTGCAGCTAATGGGCCTCTAGCAGTAAATCATCTTAAGAGTGCTAAGAGCATAAAATTGTCTAAGGATCGAAAGGATCGGAAGTTTTTGCCATGCAAAGGTAAAGTAAACTTAAAGATGGCTAAATTTGTGAGATTTTATATTTTGCATGAAATTGTCTAAGGATCGGAAGTTTTTGCCACGCAAAGGTAAAGTAAACTTAAAGATGGCTAAATTTGTGAGATTTTATATTTTGTTCTGCGTATAATTGTAATTTTGACTAGTTCGTATGTTTACTAGGAGAAGCAGCTGACCAGGCAGTTCAGAACAATGAGCTCTCATGCGGGAGACCCATGTTCAAATCTTCGGCAATCATGATTTCCCTGTGTGGGTTCCAGGGCCTCATTTTGAGAGGAGAAAAGAATATGGACTTACTGCCCCTTAGCAAGCAGTAGAGATGTGTTATCTTGGGCAGGTCCATGTGTGATATCTTTAAATGGGCATAAACGGCAAGCATGTCTTATGTGCAGTAAGCATCAATGTGTGGGAATGGGTTCTTCATTACTTTGACCTTTATCCTTCAATGGATCATGGTCCTTCAACCAACTTACCCCAAGGTCGTCCTGTCCTTTGCTATTTCTTTCAGGACACCCCATGTCCTTCCTGTCTTTTTCAACTTCACTCTCTGTTTTCCTTCTGCAGGTGTTTTTTTTTAAATATTTTTTTGGGGGAAACAAGTTGGGATGCAACCAATGCTTAACAACATCTAAAGACAATAGATCAAATGTTGTCAAGACTACCACCAGTTGAAGCACTGCAGAGAGCCCTGTCACATAGACACAGTGAAAACAGAGTTAAGAGTTCGCCCTCGTAAGCATTGGGTAGATGGAATATCTGAGGCCCTGAATACCACCATCAAGGCTCACACCACAAAAATGTCTCTTCAAACCTAATACTAAAAGACAGAACACGACTAGAGAAGAAAAAGAAGGATACTTAGTGTGATTTGGTTTTCTCAGTCTTTCCAGGCGATATTGTTATATTGTGTTATAGGGAGTTATGAAGGAGCTGCATGGTCTCGAGGCATGGTGTCCACCTCGAGTGCTATAAGTTCTGGGTTCAGTCCCCGGTAAGGGCTGAGATTTTTTTTGCATAGACTTGGAATTCTAGTAATTCCCCTGGTCTCGGAGTAGTAAGATTGTGTGCATTGTTGCGCACGTAAAAAAACAACTTTGGCAGTTGGAAATCGAAAAGAGTAGCCTAACAGCGCTGCCCGGGCAAAAAATGTGGAGTTACAAATCTACCCAAAGTATTTCAGGATCCTCGCCTGTGCTACAAAGCATGTGCACTGGGCTGAACGTCTTCAGACTCGGACTTGAGTTAGAAAAAGAACAGAGCAGTTAGGGTTACAACCCATGTGCCATGATGTTGATCCGTTGTTCAAACCTCAAGGGAGTTATAGGAATCATGGTCCATGGTGATGGGCAGTTAAGGCCAGGAAAGTTCTTCCTCACCATAGCAGTATTATAGAGACCATATGTGTTACATTGCAGCAGGATCCCTCTCTCAGCCTGCCTTTTTTTACAGATGTGTAATCTATGCAATAACTCATTCTTTTATTCTTGTCTTGTGGTCTCTGTGGCGAAGTAGTTTGTCTTGCATTATGAAGGTTGTGGGTACCTTTTGCAACCTGCATTAGTTGTTCACAAGTGTAGTTTTTACAGACCCCTGGAGATGTGGAGTCTGTGCTTTGTGTGTTACTCTTAGCTGGCAGCTAGCCATTCTGCTGAGAGAGGCTAAGTCATAAAAGATAAAAACCCTGGCCAATAAAATCAGTCTGCTCAATTTGAACTCATTTAATTATTTTTTTTTATTTTTGACCATTTGTCCATGTAGTTAGTTGTTATTTAACTTGCCAGTTCCATTGTGCACCCCTTGCTGGGCTCCAGAGACAGAGAAAAGGGAAGTTGTGTGACAGTCCCCAGCAGATTGTTCTTGGTGCTGGTCAAGAGAAAAGTCTCTCTGCCAGCTTCACTCTGATAAACGCAGTTTTTAAGGCCTAGAAGGCCTTAATGCCAGTGCATTGAATTTAAAAGATGAAGTCTTTTGAAGAATCCACTGCCAATGAACTAACCATTCAGTCAGCCATCCAACCAACAAACTCATCGTCATCATCATCAGGTCAGTGTTCTTGTCTCAACCCATCCATATGGCCAAGCTATCCAGGTATTTATCTGTTGCCTTCCCCTTGCTTTTTCTCTCCCCAGTCTTGCCAGTTGTGAACAAGTTTTCAAGCTCATTCCTTCTCCTATAACATGTCTGTAAAACACTTGACTGACCATCAGATTTCTCTGGTCAGTTTAGTTTTTCATCTTTCTCAAGGATGACTGCCTCATTTGTTTTTCTATCATTTCATGATATTTTTTTTGGGAGGGAAAAAAGCCAACTAAAACTCCATGAAGCGCATCAGCCAACCAGCAAACAGTTTGGTCAACTGTCTATCCTTCTCCTTTGCGCTCACCAGCTGTAAACTCCAGTGGACAGATTTGGTTGTTCATTGACTTCAGAACTGTGGTCTTGTATTAGAACTAGAGTTTTGATTTTGTTTTACAGGCTTATCTGTATGCAAACTGTTGGTACTTGCATCACAGGCAGATGCACTTCGACTTTAAAGGGAACCCCTCATAATTAGTCGCGTTGTGGTAACTAGGCTTGTTGGGGAGGGGGGAGGAAGGGGGTGCGGTAGGTCTATTCTTGTTTCCCCCAAATGGTCCCCAGGACCCGCACAGGGAGTCAACCCTCCAGATAACCAGCCAGCTTACTATCCATTCAACCAACTACCCTGTCAACTGTCCAATCACTCAGCTATCTATCCAGTCGACCAACCATCTTTGTGTTTGTGTTGCAGATCGGGAGTATGATGCCAATAAACATTGTGGTGTGGCCATCTCTGAGACGGGCAAGCCTTGCACCAGATCTCTCACTTGCAAGGTAAGCAATATAATATGTATGAATATTTGATATGTGTCCACCGGCTGTAAACACTGACAGAAAGTTTTGGTTATTCCTCTACATCTGGACTTTGATCTTGAGTTTTGTGTGTACATCCGATTTTACTGATGTGACTTATTAGTGTGCAGACTGTTGGTTCCTTACCTTAAGTGTAGATGCACTATGATGACTTTGAAGGAAACACCCCTAATCAGTCACTTTTAACGACATGCTTGTTAGAGAGACAGTGGGTCAGTCCTCTCCCCAATGAAGTTCCCGGAATCCACATGAGGCAATGCTGGGAGTCATGGTTTCAATCTGAGTGTTGATCTTTTGGTTTGTGAGTGCAGGTTTTTTCTAGATTCGGGGAAGATCCCAGGGATTTTAAGGAGGATTTTAGTGGTGGGACTCCAACAAGCTGGCTGGGGAAGATGGTGCACTTATATTGATCATTTGGGCACTGTCAACATGATTCTCTTGTTTTCAACGCTGGAGCTATTGCTTTCCATTCTTTGTTTAATGGGCTTTTTGGGCAACCAGCATCTATGCTCAGAGAGACTAAGCCAAACGGGATAAATCCTGGTGCAGTCAAGCTTTTCCTTGCCTTTAAATGCCCCCTCCCCCCCCCCCCCCCAACCCCCTTTTTTTAAAACTTCTGAGAATGCAGATACACCAGAGGCGGGTAATCTGATTTCTGACTTCCCTGCAAACAGGTCACCATATAGTTGCTCGGTTCCTGTGCCAATGAAAACTGCAGAGAATGTTAATCTGTCTTTTGTGAAAAATATTCACAGACTGCAGTCTTGGCAGATATAACAGCACACAGCCACATCAAATGCATAAGGCAGCAGTCAGAATTGCCAAAACAGTTAGTCAGATGCTAGAAGTCCAGTTTATCATCAATGGAGTCAGCAGTTACAACAGTTCAGTATTTGCATATGCAATTAGTTGCATAAGGCACCACCAGTTCTCAGGCAACTGGCCACTCACCACATTGGGCACAGTTGGCAAGCATTTTAAATTAAATCTGCAGCTCACATATTGCTCCATGCACTCATTTCAATAGCTGGGTGACAGAACTACATATTTTCAGTCTAAATCAGGAGGAAAATGCAACAGCTAACCTTTGTCAAAAGCAAAAAACTGGCCGTGACTAAAAATAGTAAATTGGCATACCCGCCCTCTTGACTGGAAGTGACAGCGGTGACAGAAGTATGCTTTGTCTCTTAACTTGTGTCTTCCTGAATCTTCTTCATGACACATGTATGCTTTTTTTTGTAATTTGTATATTTCCTGAATCCTTTTCAAAATAGACTCATGCACTGTCATTACGAAGAGCTGTGTCAGGAAGAAGCAAGCCCTTTGATGGGCTGCTCAAAGAGCACAAAGCAGTGAAGGACGCTATTCTGAAGGCCAAAGCTGAGGCCCAGCGCGCTTCAGCAGGCACCAGCTCTGTGACTTCTACAGTTACGAACCCAGACTGTTCAGTAACAACCAGCTTGGCAGCGGATGTGGCGAAACAGCAGACGACCCCTGTGATGTCTTTCCAGAGCAGAGGGAAGCCTCCGCACTTGGGGTGTAGCCCAGTTGCCACCAGAACAACTATGTCTTCTGATAGCATTTCCACGACAGCAACATCAGTTGTTAAACCACACCATGCTTCAAATGTGTTCCAAAGGTATGTTGCTGTTATAATATGTTTTAAAGGTATGTTGCTGTTATAATGTGTTTTAAGGGTATGTTGCTGTTATAATGTGTTTTAAAGGTATGTTGCTGTTATAATATACCAGGGGTATGTCATTACCTAATGTGTTTTAAAGGCTTCTTTTTTCTTCTTTTTTTTTTTCTCTGTATTATTTTTCTTCCGCTCTTTACCCACCTTTCCCTCCTCCTCCTTCCATCCCCCAGTGGAGCATAGGCTCATAACCAACCCACACAGTCCTATCCTTTGTTTTTACATGGAACCCACCTTTAAGTCGTCCCTGTCTTTTTAACTTTAGTCTGTTGCTTTATTCTCCATGTGTTTTGTTTAGTGTGCCTTTATTTCTATGCCCCTGTGGGTTTCAGTGCAAAGACATTGTAGTTGCATTGTTTTCAGGTTATCTTAACTAAAATGTTCTTTCCAACGTCAGCATCTTTTCTTCACATCCCGTTTCACTGGAATTTGTTTAGCTCTCTGCCAAAGCTCAGTATTGCTGTTTCTACAATGCACATTATTTTTAGGTAAGTCCCAGTTTAAAAAAAACCATCATATATAAAAAAAAATAGGCTATCCACCGAATAACGGTCCTAAATTATGGAGGCGTAAAATATACCTTAACAGAGCCCCAGTCACGTGTCCAGTCATTGTGTGAATTGCGCACTTCCGTCGTCCTAAATTGCGCACTTCCGCCACCGCGGAGAGTATCCCCCCCACGCCGCTCACATGGCGTGTATTGGGGCTAAACTAGATGTCAGGGACTCATGAGCAGCAGCTACTGCTTCTCCTGCAGCTTCCTTCATTTTATTTTCTCGTGAGTCCTAGCCCTCTAGTTTAGCCCCAATCCACGTCGCTCACGCGGCTTGGGGGATACTCTCGGCGGTGGCGAAAGTTGCCGGAAGTTCGCAATTCGGCGGTGGCGTTATAGTCCCTGGAAGTGCGCAATTCACACGTGACTGAGGCCCTGTTAGGGTATATTTTCCACCTCGATAATTTAGAACCGTTATTCGGAGGATAGCCGAATTTATTGCTTGCAAAGTTGAACCACACATTTACATTATTTCTCAACATAGTCACCATTGACTTCAACACATTTTTGGTACCATGGTACCAGGCTGTTAATTCTAATGTCACAGAAGTCTGCCACCAGTGTCTTGAACCATTCATTAACGTCCGTCGGCAGTTCATCACCAGTTTCAAACTGCTGGGATGCTGGCCACTTTTTTAGGTGCATGAAAAGATGGTAATCACTTGGCACCAGATCAAGACTGTAGGGCGAGTGGTCAAACAAAACTTTCCCTGTTAAATTTTAGTAACAATTGAACAGTTCCATCTGCGATGTGAGGTCGAGCATTACCGTGAAAAATCACAATTCCAGAGGACGGCATCCCACATCTTTTTGTTTTGGATGGCACATCTAAGTTTTATCAGAGTTTCACAATAAACTTTGGCATTAACTGTCTTTCCTTGTTCAAATAAACCATAAAACCCAGGGAGTTACCTGTGAATTTCTGCAGCACTATTGAGTTGAGTTGATTCAAGAACCGACATCACAGCACTCTAGGTATTCCCATAAGCGCTCTGTCCCCATCTTCAGCAGCCAGCGCAGAGTTCCGATACAAATGGTGCCAGAAGGATTCTAATTAAACATCCGTCTTGCCTTTCTCCTGAGCCTCGAGCATGTGCCAGAACCTCTCGTCACTTCCCCCTGCATCAATCTTACCAGACTGTGGTGATCCATCTGCTCCTCCAAACTGCACATTCTCTCCCACAAGGCACTAATCACGTCTGCCTTATCATGCATCAGTATTCCACTAGGTTGTGCAGAGCCAGCCTGTCTGTCCGCATGTTCCTTTGCCAACACACTGGCGTACCCCGATGAAAAAATCCAAACAATACTTCTCACCCATGTCCTCCGCAGTGAAGCATGCCACTCTGCACGAAGCATGCCTGTCCTAACCTTCCTCAGCATGCTTTCTGAGTGAGTTACAGTCACGATGTTGCGGCACTTTTTTGCTAACAAAAAATAGATCACAGCTGGAGGGATTATTTATGTTTTGCACTCATTATAAATCACTAACATGCAGCATCAGACAAGATTTTGGCAGTGAAAAATAGTTCACAGTTAGCTAAGGAACCACATAAACACTCAGCGTGTGCACGTGGACGTTTTCCATCAGTGTTTGTCGGTGTGGTCAAAACGGGACTTACTTAAAAAATGTGCATATTGGTTTCTACAATTGTAAGATGTTTAATATTCCTTAAGTTTTAACTTAATTTTACTTACCCTCAGAAAGTTGTCAGTAAACACATCGGCACCTTTAAAAGCCCTAACTCATAGATGGATGATCTAAATTTTTTTTTGTTTTTAAATATGTATAATCAGTTTGGTTCTCTTTTGGTCTGGTGATTCCCATGTAACCTAGTGTATTGTTTTATATGGGAAAATGCTTCCACTAATAACATATTTTGTCCTTGCATAACCGTTGGGGAATAATTCTCCATTATCATTCATTACTCCTAGTCCATGTGTTCCCAAAATACTCTTCATAACCTGTGTTATCTGATCCTATCTCAGCATTCAGGTCACGCATCAACACTTTTATGTTGCCCTTTCTTCCATTACTTATAATATTTTGAAATTGCATGTCAAATTCCTCCTTAACTGATTCATCCTTATTATTTGTTGGTGCATAACACTGTCTTACCTACATGTTCACTTTCTATATGGCTGTTCTAAATCACTCTTATTGTTCTAGGACTCACTCATTTCCATTCTCCTAATGCCCTCTTCGCCACTTTCCATAGCAACTGGGCCACCCCTTTGCTTTGGCGAGATTTTCCTCTGTATGGCCTGAGAGCAAAATTGTTTCACCTGAAAGTATAAACATGTTTGCCTGCCCTGAGCCATCTGGTTTCCCATACTCCTAAGATACCAATCCTATAAAATATTTCAGTTCTCATACTGCCTTCCTTTATCATACATATTTCTGACATTCCAGGTGCCAGTTCTTGAGATTTTCCTGTTTGTTTGTTTTAGTATCTAGAAGCCTTGAGTTGTTAACCCTTTGGCTCGGTATTATGGATATCACAACCTTTCGGCCTTGATGCCATTGTAAATACTGTAAATCTGGTAGAAATGTGGCTTTTCTGCCTACCCCCAGGAGTGAACCCGGACCACAAGGAGTTCGTCACCCGGTCACTGCGCAGTCCGGTTTAGCTAACTACGCTAGAGAGCCAGGCGGAGATTTTCCTAGTTAAAAGTAGGTGGGTCAAATGATCCAACGCCTGTAGGCTTTCTCCGCACCGCTTCATCATCCTTCTATTAGAGAACCCTCTTTTAGTTGACTTGATACTACTTGTTTCTCTTTTTGTCTTTTCCATGGTTGGTTGGCTTTTGTGGCTATTGCTCTGTTGTTTTTTATGGAATGAGGTAGGCCTACCCTAGTAACCCAATGAAGGAAGCATAAACTTTTTTTTTTGCCGGTTGGAATGTATTTTATTTTTTGCTTTATTCTAGTCATGTTTATTGATTACCTCATTTGTGTATCTTTATATATTTATAATTGTACATAAATACATTTTTTCAAAACTGTATTTATAACCTGTGTAGTTATGGTTAAGTCGGCCCCTGTGGCTTAGGCGTTGTAATGTGGAGGTGCTGGGTTTGATCCGAGCTGCGGTCCTTGGACCTTGAGTTGGATTCGAAAGTAGTATTGAGAAGCCAACCATCCAGAAAGCATTGGCAAACTACTGGACGTAAATTTCCCTAAAAACCCACAAAAGCAAAGAAATGCTGGGGTAACTTTAAGTTAGGGTTGTCTTTTTAAATAGGATATATTTCTGGGAGTTCCCACAGGTTCATGACCTAATTTTTTTAGCAGTCGCAGGGTGAAGGGTTAAAACAAATGTTAGTTTTATCGCTTCTTTTGGTTTATATACTTCATTGTCTTCCTTGCATTTCAAATTTCAATTAATAAACTTGCAGATTTACTTCAACTGTGACGCATCCAACGATAACAGTAAAAGAGGAAACAACAGTAAATCGGGAGGATCCATCTTCAAGACTGTCCATGTCGTCAGAAGTGTCCTCGGTAGTTGTCCAGGATTTAAAACAAGACCATAATTTTATGTCTCGTCATCCTAGACCAATGGCGGTAAGTGAATATTTGTAGGTTCTGTTCACAGTTTAACTTGTAAATTCTTTCTACCCAAGCAGAACTCTTGCAGTCACATACAACTCATTGACTCTTGGTTACTGATTACTGATTCAAGAATCAACATCATAGCACACAGGGCATGCTCATATGTGTTCCGCCTGCTGCAGCAAATATCTTAAGATGTGCATGTTAAACGTTCCCGTAGCACACTGATTATACACACGTAGTTTTCTTCCTCTCATCCGTCACTTCTTTTTGGATCCACACTTAATTCTTCGTTCACACATTCTTGCACATGTTATTTCATCTAATCTCGTGTCTTCTGTCAACAGTCATTCATATTTGGTGTTCAGAATATCTCCCTTGTCTAGTAGGAGTGTTCCCGTAGCTATCGTTTTTGTCGCCAAAAATCACTCTTTTATTCCCTTGCACCCCTGCAGTTCCCGGACGTGATTCCCTGCAATGTTGACGTACTGATGTACGGTATACACTCATACAACATTTGTCCATTTTGAACCTTCCACGGTGCGGACTGATAATCAGACACAATAATTCCTCTGGTAACTGTTTTCTGCTATCCAGTTCAAAGCTGCAGTGATTGCCTCCACTTCCATTCTCATGCTCGAAGTTGTAGATAAAAAAATGCTCCATTTTGTTTTGCCACAATCTTTCCTTTCATTTTGGCTGAAAACCCCTACCAGATCTTACACCTTGATGAACATAACCATCTGTTTACACTACTGCATCATCTAGCCCAGCTTTTCCATCTATCATTTGTTGTTTTCCTCTAATTCTGTTACACCACTCTTTACATTCTCTTCCTAACATGAGAATGACCTGATGGAAACTGCTGTTGTGGGTGTTCATGTAGATCCATTCCTGCCCCCTGTGTATTTGCTTGACGAGACCGCCGTCTTCATAGTATCTTCTGCTAGTGCCATCCATGACTTTCCTCTTTTCAACCTGTCTCCATCATTGGTAACTCCCATATGGGCCTTGGCATGCGCCAGTGATGGACTTGACTTTACTGATGTCAGCCAAAGCAACACCTCATTGTTCTAATTGGGGTGTCTCGTTTGCAACAGAAGACAATTATCATTCCTTCATTTTGAATCCTTTCAAGCTTTGTACTGTGAAGTATAGTTAATATTCCTAGGCCATAATCAGTTACAGAAAGGACCACATGGTTGGACAATACTCCAGTAATCTCATGTTTCATGTGTATCACCACCATTGTCTTCAGCACTACAAGGCCACGCTTGCATTTGATTGCAATCTGCTCCACAGGATATTTGTAGGACAGACTGCCATCAAACATCAAACCTAAGTATTTCAACTTATCCTTTCTTTCAACATTTATATCTTCATGGATTTGCTGGGCAAGTCTTCCTTTTCAATGCTTTTGTTTAAAGAGCTCCACAAAACACTTGGAAACCATATCAGCTCATTAACTTTTTACCCTAGAGCAACAAGCTAGGCTCAGCCGGTCACGGATCGCTGGGTTTGTGTGTACTCAGTTGTGATCATCTGTAACTTTTCCCTGTGACATCTCAAGCTAGGCTCAGCCGGATTACGGGTCGCTGTTTTTGTGTACTCGGACATGATCATCTGTAAGTTCGGTCACTTTTGGTCATTTTCACTGTACTGGGATTACCTCCCTTGCATTATCAGTCCATGAAATTGCTGCCTGCCATGTCAGATATTATACAGGGTTATTTCAAATGATGGATACACTTTCATTTATTTATATTTCTTTGAATATACATAACATAATAATAATATACATACAGCAAGAGAGAGGGGTAGGTCTAAAGTTTTGAATACTGCAGCTAGAGCGCAGTTGCATAACAAAAACTCTGGCCCACCTGCTCTACCGTATCACAGTTGCAGTGAACTCGTTTACACAAGAGATGCTTCTTGTGTAGGATCAGTTTGGCTGCCGCTTAGATGTTTGCTGAGCAACAGACATCAGCCATATTGAACATATGTAAACTCTGTTTAAAGTGTAAACTTTAGACCTTTCTCTCTCCCTCTCTTCTCCCACCCCCACCCCCTCCTTTTTTTTCTTCTCTTATATGTTTATTTTTAAAATGTAATGTGTATTTAAGAAAATTACATTAATGAAAGTGTATCGGTCATTTTGAATAATCCTGTACAGTGAAACAAGGTTAACAGAAACTGATAATGAGCGAGTAGACCCACTGGCAAGCAGTGAACCAAGCATGCATGAAGAGGCATCGGCAGAGCAGATGTCCACCATGCTGTACTTAACTGGGCTAGCCGATCATGACAGATCTCTGACACTAAATCGATTGCATGAACTGGAAGTAAAGTAGGGTGAGGCATGTCTATACTCCTTTGAGACTGAAGTAGGAGACAATACTCCGCTTGGTAACAATCAGTAGAGGTACCTTGGAGTGGCTGCTGCATCTGAAGACTGAGCGTTTATGGGAAGGCCTTGGAATGCTCAGTGTGCACTGATCTTTGTGATAACATAACACGACCTCACTTAAAAAAAACACTCAGTTATATGAACAAAATGTTGACCCCTGCAGGAACGAGATTTTACCCTATTTCTTGTTATTTTAACCTGAAAATGTAAAATTTGAAAATGTTATTGTTGTTGTTCCACAGTGTAACCATTTTGGTGGGCGTTTTACGGACAGAAGTTGTATGCTGTTTTCCAGGAAGGTGGATTATGTTAGGGCAGCTCTACTTAGTGCATTACAGAGACAGCTGAACCCTCCCCCACCCAAGTGAGTATACGTAGCCTCAGTTTTTCTTCTGTGTTTGCTCTTAACCCTGTCGTCCTGAGAAGGTGTTAAACTGACACTTCTGGTTAGGGCCAATTCCCCATAAATGTCACTTTTCCGACTTGCCAACAGTGACCCGTTTACGAGACGTATGGTTAATGCTATAAAAATAGGGATCTTTTACTCACTTTTGTAACATATATTACTTTACTATTTATCAGGGATCTAGAGACAAGATCAAAGTACCTGTGTTATAAAGTAATTCACTGTCACCTGACACACACACGTAATTTTACCTGCTCATATTCTCCTCTAACTACCTGAGCTTGATAACTACCAAGTATTAAGAATGCTGTCGTATAGTTCATTGTTGAAACATTCAAGCTACTGCAATTCACCGCAGACATGCGAAAAAAGAGAAAAACCTGTGTGTTTGAAAAGCTGTCACAATCCAAGTCATGAAATGTCAAGTGTTTACAAAAGATTGCTCTAGTACTAATCACTTTATTATACTTCCATTCGTACATGACTGTCAGTAATACAATTGACTGTATCTAATGATTAAAGCCATCCACCAGCTGAACTATATCCGCTATATTATACCTTTTGGGGCTGAAACAAGTAACGTCGATCTTCCTGAGGGTTTATTCTTCTAATGACCATGAGTTAATCATCTGTAGGTGCTCATTTGTATGTCACACACTGTTAATGGGTTCTTTGTCCTCTACATAGCAATTTCTGTCTTGATGCTCAAGACAGGTCATGGCACTATTACAGTAGATCTGTTTGTACCAAAAAATATATTTACTCATACATGCACACATATACACATACATACATACATATACTCACATACTCACACATACACACACACTGCTGGCACCACATACCAGTAAACCATGAGGCCTGAAAAGGGTCTTTTCCTTTATTTTACCCCCCCCCCCCCCCCCAAAATACATTGATCTTTTCTTTACTACACATTATTAATATAATTATAATAACAGTGTCTTTCTTTTTATAAGCTTTTATTTAACTTGCTTTTGTTTCTTTGTTTGCCTGGTACAGTTTTTGATGATTTTTTTTCCTTCAGAAAACTCTGTATGGAATCAAATTTACCAGAGGAGTCCCAAGCATTCACTAATTCTCAAGATCCATATGAGTTTAACTTAGCAGACACAAGCGGCAGCGGCGGTGGTTCTGTAAGTCCTGCTGTGGTCAGCCCCTTAAAGCCAGCTCCAAAACCTAAATCAAAATTACCAGCATCTCCAGTGGCAGCCTCATCGTTCAACAACCAAACTATAAGCTTTTACCCAGGAACAGTGTCATCCTCATTGCCTTTATTAGCATTACCAGTGTCCACCTTATGTTCAGCACCTATTGAAGCACCATCAGTTTCCTCATCAAGCCATTCCCCCAGTTGGCCAGTCAGAACTTGGAGTGAAGCATCAACACATACTTCTTCAGCCTCAGCGTCCACTGCTCTATCATCTACACAAGTTACAAACCCTGGAAGCAGAAAAAGAAGTGGAAGCAGCACAGGTGGTTACAATGGTCCCCTCATGACATTTGCCAGCAACAATGGAACCTTGCCAGTAAATTCACCAGCTTCTCTAACTATGACATTGACTAGCAACACATCTGGAGGTACCAGGCAACAAACAGGGTTAATAGGTGTCATAACACCAACAAATTTAAACAGTCTTCAATCTGGCAACCTCATAGCTTTCCCAAATGTTAGTTTATCGAACAGTTGCGGACAACAGCAGAGTACATCAGCTGCATGCGCTGCAAAACTCTCTTCATCGGTGGGTGGAGTATCTTCAGTCACCTCACATAAGAACATCTTCAAAGACTTCAACCTTGTTTTGACAGGGTTAGATTCATCTCTAGTCAACGGACAGCAGTATGTCAATATATCTAGTGCTCAACTGGCCGAATTGACTAAAATTCCGGGACAGACTTTATTTCTGAACAATTTTACACCTGGTAATTCTAATGGTTCTTCAGCATCAGGTAACATACACAGCATTAATCGGGCAGGGTCATTACCTACAGCAAGGCCAGCCAAACGAAGCCGCAGTTCTGGGTCAAAACCGCAACCTGCTCTGATCAGCTCTGATAGAAAAATTGCAGCCAGTGCCTTGGAAACTTACAAACTAGTCCCTACAAGCTCTTTACAATCCAACGCTGTTCTGTTGGATGGGGGAAGATTGCAAGATGCCATGTTTACATTAGCCCCAGGAAGCACAACTCCAACGCTGGTGGCCATTGCCTCTCACACAGATAATACCAACAGTGCCATGGTGATGGGAAACTCTTCCCAAGTTTTATGTAGGGTAGGTGCTTCAGTTTTTTTCCTTAAACGGTTTCTGCATTTTGAATTTTCAATTACTCTTATGACTCCAGATTCCCCATGTGGGTTGAAGGGCCCCTTGGGGGAAGGGGTGTTGTAGACTTACTGTGGCCTAGAAACTAATAAGGGTTTGCTCGGATGTATTGGGCTGAAAGGCGCCAATGTCACACTCCAAATCATGCCACTCTTCTAGGGGTGAATGAGGACAAGGCGGATACCCCAACAATCTTTTGTAGCAGATGCCCAAGAGAATGAATTGTCACTTTGAAGAATTATGCATAGATGACATTCATGGAAGTTAAATCCACAGCAGAAGTGGGCCCTCACGAGAACCAAAGTATAGCAACACTGCACCCCACAAGGCATGTCGTAAGAGAGGATCAAGGGTAGGGTTGGACTTGAGGTTGGCTACCTCATCCTGCAAAAATAATAGCCACAAAACCAACCAGCCGAGGGCAAGTCAAAAAGAGAAACGAGCTGCATGTGATAGCGAAGAATAGAACGGCTTGGCGTGAGTTGATTGAGAGCCTGTGCTCCATTGGGGGTTGGAAAGGCAGAAGAAGATGTTCAAGGAGGCTAAATCCACAGCAGGAAGGGGGGGGGGGGGCGCACTGACAATGCCAGATTTCTTTAATTTGTTGTAACCAAATATAACAAGGGAAAGAACACATTACTTGACGATTGGAATTGAAGAGACAGAGCTACAGAGAGGGTGTGTTTTGGGACTGAAAGAGTTAATTGAATATACTTATAAAATTAGAGGGAAAGCTGTGTGTTGTTATGCTAATGTATTTTGCCTAGCTAAAGGAGAATATATATATCGAATTAGATTTTTGCAGTTTTAAAGAATAAATGAAGAATTTTTTAAGGCTTTTGCTTAGTCTGATGACTGGAAAGATCCGAGGTTGCAGAAAAGAAAGAGGATGCTTGACGACCTGAAGCAAAAGTATGGTGGAATATCATTGGTGGAATTTTTTTTTTTAAACTTTAGGACCGAGATCTTTGGAGAGACAGCATACGCCGCTAGGCAGGGCACAAGGAAGCTAAATGTGCTAGGTACCACCAAGAATCACAAAACAGACACTGTAATAGGAAATATATGAAGTGAGGAAGTTCAGGAGAAACTCTAAGACAGATGATGAGAAAGGCCAGAGTTGTCAGACTGCATTGCATACATGATATCGAAAAAATGCTTAGGAGAGAGCAGAAAGGAAGAACAGACTGCAGCAGGATGATGATGATAATGGTATAGTTTTCACTGGTTGTATAGGATGATCATGGTGAATATATGAATGGTATAGTTTTTACTGGTTATATAGGTAGATGATGATATATATGTTAGTGGTATAGTTTTTACTGGTTATCTAGGATAATGATGACGATGTATATATTAATGGTATAGTTTTCTCCGGTTATAAAGGGTGTTGATGATGGATATGTTAGTGGTATAGTTTTCACTGGTTATCTAGGATGATGATGACGATGGATATATCAGTGGTATAGTTTTCACTAGTTATATAGGATTTTGGATGATGGATATATTAGTGGTATATTTTTCACTGGTTAAATAGGAAGACGATGATGGAAATGTTAGTGGTATAGTTATCACTTGCTATATTTGATGATGATGATGGATATGTTACTGGTATAGTGATGATGGATATGTTAGTGGTGTAATTGTCACCGGTTATATAGAAAGATGATGATGGATATGTAAGGTATATTTTTCACTGGTTAAATAGGAAGATAATGATGGATATGTTAGTGTTAAAGTTATCACAGGCTATATTTGATGATGATGATGAATATGTTACTAGTATAGTTTTCACTGGTTTTATAGAATGATGGATATGTTGGATATGTTAGTGGTATAGTTTTTGCTTGTTATCTAGGATGATGATAGATATATCAGTGGTATACTTTTTCACTGGTTATCTAGGATGGTAATGGATATATTAGTGGTGTAGTTTTCACTGATTATTTAGGATGATGATATTGGCTATGTTAGTAGTATAGTTTTCACTGGTTATATACAATGATAGGTATGGACATGTTAGTGGTATAGTTTTCACTCTTTATACAGGATGATGATGATGGATATGTTAGTAGTATAGTTTTCACTGGTTATATACAATGATAAGTATGGACATGTTAGTGGTATAGTTTTCACTCTTTATACAGGATGATGATGATGGATATGTTAGTGGTATAGTTTTCACTAGTTTTTATAAGATGATGATGATGGATATGTTACTTGTATAATTTTCACAGGTTCTATAGAATAATGGTTATATAGTCACTGGTTATATAGTATGATGATGATAGATATGTTAGCGGTATAGTTTTCAAAGGTTTTATAAGATGATGATGTTACATATGTTAGTGGTATAGTTTTCACAGGTTTTATAAGATGATGATGTTACATATGTTAGTGGTATAGTTTTCACAGGTTTTATAAGATGATGATGTTACAAATGTTAGTGGAATAGTTTTCACTGGTTTTATAGGTTGATGATGATGATAGATATGTTAGTGGTATAGTTTTCACTGATTTTATGTGTTAATTGCAGGATACATCTTCAGTTATTAATTCGTCAGCATTGGCCAATGGAATATCACAGACCACTCGTGGTAAGGCTTTTTTTTTTGGTTACTCTAAACACTTGGCCTATTGAGTTGAGTTGATTCAAGAACCGACATCACAACACTCAGGGCATTCCCATAAGCGCTCCGTCCCATCCTAATGGTGCCAGTAGCATTCTGATTAAACTTCCGTCCTGCCTTTCCTCTGAGCCTTGAGCATCTGCCAGAACCTCTCGTCACTTCCCCCTGCATCAAACTCACCAGACTGTGGTGATCTATCTGCTTCCCCGAACTGGACATGCTCTCCCACAAGGCACTAACCACGTCTGCCTTATCATGCATCAGTATTCCACTCAGTCTTTATCATGCACAAAACTGAGCCTGTTTTCTGCACAGTGCGATCGAAAATATACATGCAACATACAGCATTTAGTGTGACTTGGCGTGTTGGGTATAAACACAGTTTCATTATTCTGAAATACCCAGTTTGGTTCAGCTGCAGGGGATTTGGAGCCTGTGCGTTGGTTTCAATAATAGTATTAGCATAGAACGCTCTTTAGGCAGCAGCAAACTTCCTTCTTATAGTACATGTTGTGTGGCATTTGTAGTGTCTATCCACAACCTTCTGTAGCATGTACTTTCAGTCAGTTCTGACACCGATGATCTTCCATGTCATTTTGTAAAACTGTCCAGAATCTTGTCTCTTGGTCTTCCTCTGCTTCTTTTTCACTGCAGCTTCCCCACCGTCACAATGTACTCCAGTTTTCTCCTTCTCTTTACATGACCAAAGTGTGTAGATCAGGTCTGTTCAGGGGGTTTATTCAGGGGACAGCATTTAAACAGCATCCCCCCCCCCCCCTTTACTTTTTACACACTTGCTGTAGTAATCTTTGTTTTGTCCTTTACTTTTTACATGCTTGCTATAGTAATCTATGTTTTGTCCTGTACCTTTTTACATACTTGCTATAGTAATCTTTGTTTTGTCCTTTCCTTTTTACATGCTTGCTATAGTAATCTTTGTTTTGTCCTTTACTTTTTACATGCTTGCTATAGTAATCTTTGTTTTGTCCTTCACTTTTTATATGCTTGCTATAGTAATCTTTGTTTTGTCCTTTCCCTTTTATATGCTTGCTATAGTAATCTTTTGTCCTTCACTTTTTACATGCTTTCTATAGTAATCTTTGTTTTGTCCTTCACTTTTTACATGCTTGCTATAGTAATCTTTGTTTTGTCCTTTCCTTTTTACATGCTTGCTATAGTAATCTTTGTTTAGTCCTTCACCATTTACATACTCGCTATAGTAATTTTTTTTTACGTCCTTTACTTTTTACATGCTTGCTATAGTAATCTTTGTTTTGTCCTTCACTATTAACATGGTTGCTGTAGTAATCTTTGTTTTGTCCTTCACCATTTACATATTTGCTGTAGTAATCTTTTTAGTAATCTTTGTTTTGTCCTTTTAACTTTTTACATACATGCTATAGTAATCTTTTGGTATTTCCTTCACTTTTTATATACTTGCTATAGTAGTCTTTTGTTACGACCTTTACTTTTTACATACTTTCTACATTAAACTTTTGTTACACCCTTCACTTTCTACATACTTGCTATAGTAATCTTTTGTTACGTCCTTCACCATTTACATACTTGCTGTAGTAGTCTTTGTTTTGTCCTTTACTATTTACATACTTGCTATAGTAGTCTTTTGTTATGTCCTTTGCTTTTTACATACTTACTGTAGTAATCTTTTGTTACGTCTTTCACTTTTTACAAACTTGCTATAGTAATATTTGTTTTATCTTCATCAGGTAATTCTGGCAGTATTAGTCATCACCACCACACCTCCTCTTCCAGACCACATCACCACCACCATCATCATAATCACCTTCATCGTCAGGAACATAGCAAAACCCAGCAGCAGCAAGACATGTTTGTTACTAGTGTTCTACAGGTGGCGCCATCTGTAGCCAATCCTATTCAGTCACCTGTGGCCACCCAGTTGGGTCCCAACCAGACTTTATTCAAGCCCCACGGAACATTCAACCTTACAGCGAAAAACATGGCAGGAAAACTAGCAATGCAACCCATGTCACTCACTTTCCCCATCAGTGTAAGCCAAGCTGGGGCTGGGCTGGGTGCCTTAACTTCAGGCTTACCACAGCAGTTACAAGCGCAGCATCAACTACAGCCTCATCATAAACTTTCTGTCACCACCAATGGTGTCGGCACAGAACTAGAACCTTCTACAGCTGCCCTCGTCACAGCGAAAACAGATTTACACCTGCAGTCACAGATGTCTGGAACATCAACGGGCAGTTTAATTTCCTAACATTAGTTTAACTCTAGCGACGATGCTTATTTCGTTGGCACCACGCCAGAGTTAGTTACATGCAAAATATTTCTTTCAAGAAATTTGTGTTTGAACATTGACATGCAAATTAAAATGACTGTCTTTCCCCAAGTATAAGATGCTTTTCTTCCCCTAAAATATATTGTTTTGAAGCTTTATAATGCCGGGATGCTGGGTTCGATCCCAGCTGCAGGCCATGTGCCTTGCGTTGGTTCAACAGTGGTATCAAGAAAGCCGACCGTCCAGAAAGCAATGGCAAGCTACTGGACGTAAAAATTTGCCTAGAAAGACCACACAACAGCCGTTGGGATTGGTTTTGCAACGTCCTGTAAAGGATACGCAACTAACCTATATTGTCTTAAAACAGTGAACATCTTTTACGATGGCAGTAGATTACTTTTTTTTCCCTAGTTCAAATGTTATTTCATTTTTAACATATGCCAGTGAAAGTTGAAGAACCACTAAAGACGTGGAATGAAAGTTGAATGCATCCGAAGACAAAAGTCTGAGGAAAATGATGAAAATAAACTGGGATTCATCCAAAAGGAGGACAGAAATAAGAGAAATGTCTAGGCAACCACTAGTATTAACAGACCGAGAAGTTGGTGCTACAATGGACACATCCTAAGAAGAAACCAGCATAGAATCACCAAACAGGAATTAAAATGAGAAATGAAGGGATTAAGGACAAAAGAAACCCTAATATGAACGTTGACGAGAGAGGCTAAATAAGTAGATTACTTTGTGTAATCATATTATTTTTTATTAAAAAATTTCTGGTCCCAAAATCATGGTGTGTTTTATACACCCGATCATCTTATACTTGGGGAAACATGGCGTGTAGTTGCATGAATGGAAATATGTCATTTTGGCCTGTTTGGAGTAGGAATTCAAATGTGTGTCTTTTCTGGCATATTGTAAAGTGGCAGATAACAGCCCTGAAAAGGCAATAAATGAAAATGGCCAAAACTGCACTTTGGCGATTTAAATGCAGTGACAACAGTTGATGTTTGTAATTTTAACTATTATAAGAATGAAAAAAAAAAAACTGTCGTTATTTTACCAAAGAATAAGCTTTCAGGTTTTCAAGCAGCATGTCAACTGGAGTTTTCCCGTGTCTTTCACATTTGCCTGTTTTGTTGTTGTTACTGCTGTGTCAGATTGGGCATGCAGAGCATAATCACCGATGCATATCATAGCATTAATGTATGTGTAAGAAAGTGGTGCAGTGATCATTATTTTAACTCTGACATAAGAGATCTTATAGCCTTTGTGCCAGTTATACTGTTGTTGTTTTTTTTGTATGGGCGGTTGAAATGACCTGTGAGTGATTAACTTACATGGTTGGCTGTAGAGTTAGCTTAAGTTGTTAGATTTGGAGGTTAGCGTAAGTGATTGGCTGTGGATTTAGCTTAAGGGGATTGGCTGTGAGGTAAGCTTAAGTGATTGGCTTTGGATTTAGCTTAAGTGATTGGCTGTGGAGTTAAAATTGATTGGCTGTGAGATTAGCTTAAGTGATTGGCTGTGGAGTTAAAACTGATTGGCTGTGAGGTTAGCTTAAGTGATTGGCTGTGGAGTTAAAAGTGATTGGCTGTGAGGTTAGCTTAAGTGATTGGCTGTGGTGTTAAAAGTGATTGGCTGTGAGGTTAGCTTAAGTGATTGGCTGTGGTGTTAGTTTTTATGATTGGCTGTGGAGTTAAAAGTGATTGGCTGTGGTGTTAGTTTTTATGATTGGCTGTGGAGTTAAAAGTGATTGGCTGTGAGGTTAGCTTAACTGATTGGCTGTGGTGTTAGTTTTTATGATTGGCTGGTAGTTAGCTTAAATGATTGGCTGTGGAGTTAGCTGACATGATTAGCCAACCTCTCCTCACTGATTGGTACTGAATGAATATAATTGTACATGCAGTGCAATATTAGCAATTCTTCTGTGAGAATCACTGAAATCGCTATGCTCATTTTATTTATTTTGTCTTGTGTATGTATATGCTACAGGATTCTCTGAGCAGCAAGAATCAAGAAAAGAAAAAAATACTGATATTCTTTAGGAGCTGGAAAATAGAAGAGGACTAGCTCATGGATATGGAAAAATATCAATCCAAACAAGAAGTAGAATGGTCAGCTTCACAGAGCAACACAGAGAAGAGACTAAGTGAACGTTGTAGCTGTCAAGCCTTCGTCAATGTATGACACTTCGGACAGTGTTACAGTCACTAACAGGAATACATATTATCACGTATATTCGCAGGTAGATCTTTCACAGATTTCCCATTCATGCTAGAACAGTCAAATCTCTTAGGCTTATAGATGGTATTGTTTCTTAGAGGTGTCCTTTTGTTTTAAGGTTTTCCAAGGCCTTATTGTGTGAAGGGGGAAAAAGAATAGAGCCACTGCCCCCCCCTAACATAAAAGTCAGCTAATTAGGGAGTTTCCTTTTGGAGTGCATCTGCCTGAGAGGTATGGAACCAACAGTCTGCATATATAAACCAGAGCTGTATAACATATGTGTGCGCTAAACTCAAGTTCTGGAACACGACTTTCTGACGGAGTTTACAGCTGGTGTACGTGAAGAAGACTAAGAAGGATAAACAGAAAAAAAAAAAGTCTTTTGGCAGCAGCAGTATTTTGTTTTTTCAATATTTTGTTAGAAAATTTCAACAACAAAAATAACATGATGGAAATCTTAAACTGGTTAGAGAAATTATAGACAGCCTTTATCTTTTCTTTTTTTTTCCTAGACATGTTATGAGAAAGATTAGACTTAAAAGAACTGGCAGGTTTAATGGAAAAAGAGTGAGGGGTCAACAAAGATGGCATGGCAATATTGATGGAGCAGGACAAGAGCACTGATGTTCTTTTTTAAAATCTTATTTTAATTGTTAGGGTAATAGTTCTTCTTCTTCTTCGCGTTCACCAGCTGTACACTCTGGCGGAAAGTTCTGGTTGCTTGTCCACTACTAAACTGTAGTCCTGCTCCAGAACCTGAGTGTTGCGTGAGCATCAGTTTTACAGATCTCATTCTCTTGAATGTTGGTTCCTTGCCTCTCCGGCAGATGCACTCCGACTTCAAAGGAAGGCTCCCCAGTTAGTCGACTCTTACGACATGCTTTTAGGGAGGCAGTGGGTCTATTCTTTTCCCCACAATAGGGTCCTGAAACCCACACGGGGGAGGGTAATAGTTGATCTATATACCTGAATCTGTGTGTCTGTCTGTTCGTTATCTGTCTGTTCGTTATCTGTCTGTTCGTTATCTGTCTGTTCGTTATCTGTGTGTTCGTTATCTTGTTGCCAAAGTATTCTTATTCATGGTCAGTGGGTGTAAATTACGGTGCATGGTTCTGATTGTTTGTTCTGTAGCGCTTCCAGTTTCAGAAAACATCTAAGTTAGCACCTTTTATGGCCTGCTAGTGTGGCGCTCCTGGCTTAGTCTCTGCGTGTCCGGCTTGTAATTCCAATGCACTGTGATCAAAACCCATTGCTGGCTGCGTGAATTTTTATCATGGTATGGGGCGTTGCAGGTCGAGCCAGCCTAAAATGGGTACCAGGATGTATGTCCTGGGGAAGTAAAGACAGCTGGCGTAATGCTGACCACATTACCTACCTAGAACCGATTGATCTAAAACAATGTGGGTGCTCTTTCCATATGTCCACAACCTTCTGTCTCATGTACTGTCCACAACCTTTTGTCTCATGTACTGTCCACAACCTTCTGTCTCATGTACTGTCCACAACCTTCCGTCTCATGTACTGTCCACAACCTTCCGTCTCATGTACTGTCCACAACCTTCTGTCTCCTGTACTGTCCACAACCTTCCATCTCATGTACTGTCCACAACCATCCGTCTCATATACTGTCCACAACCTTCCGTCTCCTGTAGTGTCCACAAACCTCCGTCTCATGTACTGTCCACAACCTTTCATCTCCTGTACTGTCCACAACCTTTCATCTCCTGTACTGTCCACAACCTTCCGTCTCCTGTACTGTCCACAACCTTCCGTCTCCTGTACTGTCCACTACCTTTCATCTCCTGTACTGTCCACAACCTTCTGTCTCATGTACTGTCCACAACCATCTGTCTCATGTACTGTCCACAACCTTTCATCTCCTGTACTGTCCACAACCTTCCGTCTCCTGTACTCTCCACAACCTTCCGTCTCATGTACTGTCCACAACCTTCCGTCTCCTGTACTGTCCACAATCTTCTGTCTCCTGTACTGTCCACAATCTTCTTTCTCATGTACTGTCCACAACCTTTCATCTTATGTACTGTCCACAACCATCCATCTTATGTACTGTCCACAACCATCCGTCTTATGTACTGTCCACAACCATCCGTCTCATGTACTTTTAGTCGGTTCTGACTCAGATGATCTTCTACACCAGCAGTTCTCAAACTGGGCGCCGCGAACATATGCCAGGGGTGCTGCAGCAAAAATAATGAATTTTCAAAAATTACTCAAGATCAGCGGAGGCAGCAGTTTGAAACATAAATACTGTGAATGAAGCCAGGAAGAGTTCTGATTGCAGGTGTATTCAAAAGACAAAGCTGTTGGAAAAGCTGCAGTGCATTCTTAATGTATGCTTACATAAAACAGATACATGAGAAAACTTTCTGGGTCCAGTGATTTGAGGGTTAAGTGAACTAAACTTCCCAGATACACAGAGGAAATAATGAAAAATTCATAGTTTCATTCATCGCATTAAAGAGAACGGAACATTAAATTTGCACTGTTTTTTTTTTTTTTTTCTAAGTATTCAAACCGCTATAAGCATAAGTGTGCTGCTAAAAAAAATGTGGCCTGACAAGGGTGCTGCGGCGAAAAAAGTTTGAGAACCTCTGTTCTACGCCATGATGTCACACTGCCAGCGTCTTCTCTTTCAGTCTCCCTCTGCCTCTTTTCCCTTCCATCTTTCCCACCATCAGGATGTACTTCAGTTTCTCCTTCTCATGTCATGACCAAAGAAGGTACCTTGCCTCTTT